TATACGTTATGTTATATTATCATCTTATATCGTACTAGCTACATAGTATAGTTACGTATATAGGTATGTACTATATAGGTATACGTATATAATTTAAATTTTGTAGTACATCTAGTAGATATATGTAAGAACTCCGTATCCACTTAACTGGATTTAGGGAGGCCTTGTCCATCCAAACTTTCTATCCACTCATCTTGGTCTCAAGATTTGTACCATCAAAAGAGTGGCGAACAATCTTTAAAAGATTCTTCATATTATCACGCGATCCCAAAGATATCAACACGTTAAAAAAGTTGGTGGATGTTTATTTCCTATCCACCTGGTAAGTTGAACATAAGCTTTACCGTATACTTGGTCTACAATTATAATTCTATAGATACTTCAGTATATTAATATACCGATATGAGGTATGCCTATTATAGGTGGTAAGTAAATTATAGTTATACCGGGTATGTTTATCTACTATACGGGACGGTATTGAGTAGTATATATATACGGTATACTATATGACGGAATACGTATAGTATATATGTGTGGTGTGTGTGCGTGTGTGGTGCGTGTGTGTGTGTGTGGTGTGGTGTGTGGTGTGTGTGTGCTGTTGTGTTTCCACGATTCATTTATTGTGTTTGTGTCTAATAAGCTCTCCTCCTGATTACATAAATGTCAGGACGAGGATGTGGTCGAGGTAGAACTCGTACCCAGAGAGTTGGGCAAGCAGAGCCCGAGCCGCAGTAGGCTCCATAGTATCTGATTGATTTGATAACACCGATTACAGAAACAAAGATTAGTAACAAGCCAGATTATACTTTCTAAAATTCTATCACCAGTCATACCAGCCGTGCCTATTTAAGAAGAAATACCAACGACTATACCGTCATCACATTGAGTTGTTAATAGAGCAGCAGAGTGTGAATGTTGACTCAGTAAGATTGTGAAAGATATTAGAAACTGGGAGTACATAAATTTTAGGGCACATCGGATTCAGTTGTAGTTTATAAATGAAAAGAATATGTGGAAAGTATTATTAGATATACTTAACATCGATTCAGTATATAAGCTGAGGTTAGCTATATTCAGCTTAAAGGGGGACGCCGGAGGGTAACACCGAATTTAGTTAATGCCGAAGCAGCGAATGTTGAGTTTGTGGGAGGATTTCACCTACTACTTCAATCAGTAGCTAGAACTAGCCGATTGGAGCAGGGAGACATACTGATACTTAATTATGGAAGCAGGACTGTCCAGAGACAAGGGCAAGAACAAGAAATTTTCTACAAGACTTAGAAGATCCCAGCAGCAGGGCAGAGAATTACCACCAACAATAATGACAGCATAAGAAGGGATCACAACATGATTTAAGAGCGCCACAGCAGCGCATAATTCGGGGTACATGTTAAAATTGTAAAAAAATCGAACATAGAGCGAAAGATTATCGTTGTGTACCAGCAAGAGGCCAGCATGGCAGAGGCCAGGGCCAGCAGCAAGGACAAAGACACGGTCAGCAGCAGGACTGTGGTTAGGGTCAGTAGTCTCAGGGCCGCAATTATGACCAGTAACAACAGAGGATCAAGACACCACCTACCATTTCGAGGATTGTGAGGTCAGTAGGCCAGATTCATGCCATCCAGGAGATTTTTGAGGGACAAATAATCTCATATGTTCCACAACCAATAGTTCAGCAGTTGCCAGCTATCGGCAGAGTTTATGTAGTCGTATCACGTGACCACGGTGCGAGTGGAGCCATAATGGAAGGTACTTTCTTAGTGAATTCGTTTCCAGCTCGGATCTTAATCGATTCAGGAGCTTCGCAATCTTTTATAACTTCATGGATAGGCTTAAACTAGTCGCACATCCCTTAGACGTTCCATTATATATCTCTACTCCTTTAGGGGAGGTATCCCTATTTGAGAGTATCTGTAGGAGAAGTGTCATCAGTCTAGATGAGTCTGAGTTTATCATTGATATGATCGTTTTGTGAATGTCATAGTTCAACGTCATTCTTAGTATGGATTGGCTATCATCCTACCATGTCAGTATCACTATTTTGCTAAAACAGTCAGCTTGTGGGCATCCGATGGGTCTGAGTTGATCATAGCGACCTCACAGGGCAACCAGATTACGGAGTTATTTTTGGCGTACGTCAAGGAGGTGATGCTGAGGGATCGAAGTGCTAATTTATACGAGATTAGAGTTGTCTTAGATTATCAGGATATCTTTCAGGACGTACCTGGGTTACCTCTTGTGAGAGAGGTGTTCTGCTTTGAGTTGCAGCCCGGTACAACACCAATATCCCGAGCACCCTATTGTATGACACTTACTGAGATGAGAGAGCTACAAACTCAGCTAGATGAACTTTTATCTTAGGGATTTATTAACCGCAGTCATTTTTTGTGGGGAACGTCGGTCTTTTTTGTGAAGAAGAAGGACAGTAGCATGCGGTTAAGCATAAATTATCGTGAGTTGAACAAAGTCACTATTTAGAACAGGTACCCATTACCGAGGATTAATAACTTGTTCGACTAGTTGTAG